GATATCCGGTATATTGCCGCAGTGTTGATTGCGAGGCAGTACGAGAGAGTGACTGGGGAACAGATAGAAGTCGCGGCAGATCGTAAGAATAGGTAATTATTTGAGGTGCGGGCTAAATTATAGTGGGAATCCAAATTTTTGAGGCAATTCAAGATTACAAGTGACTTTTTGCCAGCCCGCCCGCCTTCGCCCGCCCTCGATCTGCCCTCTTACAACCTCAGCCACCCTCAACCGCTCAAGTCATCCATAAAAAGATCCTTCAACTCGGCATCCATGGAGTTCCAAAGAGCCACGTTATTGCCCTCGCCGAGCTTTTTCACCGCCGTAAGGATCGCGGATAACGGGCGCGTGCCTTGATACCGTTGCCGCAGGTCGGTGGCCGCCTCGGTAAGTGCGTTGGCCTGATTGGCAGAGGTTATGGCGGCGGCGATACTCGATAACCCGGTGGCAACGGTGGCAACGGCAGCGTTACTAACGTCGGCGCTCGAGGAATCAACAGATCCGCTGTAAGTTGAAGCTCTAGATCCCGACGGCGAGGGCGATGGCCCAGTAGGCGACGAAGGTAACGGCGAGGGCGGGAATCTCCTCGAAGGCGCCCGTGAACGCCCTCTCTGCACGTTCACCAACTCCCAACTATCGCCATCTGACAATGCCGTCAAATCCGGATCAGTTTCCCTCCGCCGCCTTACTTCTGCCGTCTCTCTTCGCGGTCTAGCCTCCTCCACCTCCACCTCTTCCTCCGTTCCTTCTTCCCCGCCAATTACCGCCAACCGAGAAGCAGGCGAAAAAGCACGAGGCGGGTTGGAAGGAGGCGGCATTCCGTCTCCAAAAACGTCAAGCCCGGGCGCCGGAGGTATTGCAACGGCGGCGGCTGGCACCTGGATATGATCGCCTTTGGCAGTATCTATTGCCCAAAGCGAGCGGTAAGTGCTCACTTTCCCTAGCGGCAGGCCCAAAGAGATCCACGTTACCGCCGTGCCTTTGACCCTCTCGGCAAAGATCTGCCACGCCTCGTCGCTAACGTCAACGCCCTCAACGGTGCCAGTCTCTGGATCACAAGATACTCCAGAATAGCTAGTATACTTCGCCCAAGCCAAGTACCTTTTCCTCTCGGTCTGGTACTTGTCAGCAACCTTGACCTCCGTCAAGTGCGCCGCTTCCTCCCCCCACGCCGCCCGCGCCAGATCGAGCACCCGCTGCCACGCCAACGTCAGATTTGGCTTCTTTTGCACGGCAAGAAGCCCTTCGTTTTTGGCCACAAGAAACCACTCCATAACGGCCGCGGTTTTTTCCGTGTTCCACGTGAACCGCGGGGTTCGTTTGTTTGGGATCGTGCCGGCCGGGGCACGCTTCCGCTTGGTGCCACCCGGTGCCGCAGGAGCGTCGCCGGTAAACAACGCGAGGGTGGCCTCGTTGGCCTCGTTGGCCGGCCGGGCCGGCAGGGCGAGGGCGGTGGTGGCGAGGGCGGTGGCAGCGAGGGCGGCCTCGTTGGCCTCGTTGGCCGGCCGGG